GCCTAGTACCATATATTTAGATTTGGACAGTCATTGTATCACGGAAACAGTCCTATATGTCGATTATTTATTTATTTGAACACAAACATTGGTAAATAAAAATGCACCAGATACATATGTGCTACACAATCTCATTTGGTTTGTGGTCAGGGCTAGGATACTGCCTGGGTGTGCCCGAACCGGAGCAGGTGGTTTTATTAGGGGGCCACACCCGAAGTCTTGAACTAAAGGTAGATTCACAAAGCAGTGGAGCGACGTAAGGAGATTCAGTCCCATAGTGGCTGATGATCAACGATGGTTTATAAGCCTTTTGTTCCTTCGGACCATGGGTTCCATCTCCTGTACACCAATGGTTTGGAATGATGGTTCTCCAGCTCTCCTTGGTGGACTCTCCGTGTCCATCAACCCGCTCTAAGAGGTGGACATTCGCTTTGGTCCTCTCAACTTGTTAAACAACAGTAATTCCGCGAGAAGGCAGTGAGTAGGACTTCCCTATGAGTGGCTGTATATGCGTGACCATGTGAGAGCATTTGGAGATGAGAGGTGACTCTCTCACTTTTTGCCATACCACGATATTTGGGGGCCCCCTGTATCTCGATACAATACATTATATCTGATACACTAAGGTATGACATTGTCGACAAAACCGCTTCACTAATTGGGGACATCTCCCTTGAAATCATAGTTCATCTATCGGATTTAGTATCACGCTATTCTACGCCATGGAAAAATCATTTGAATGAACTGATTCTGTCAGTTACGTGATTGTTCCAAATATATTTATTGCTTGTATCTCGAAACACAACCTACATGAATTTCGACTTGAGAGATAACATGTAAGTTGTGATGTACGATGTCCGAAATCTGATGTTGGTACACGGTGTGCTACGCGCTAACCGTTCAACAGACTACTTGGGCGAGAAAGTGTATAGGAACAACCTGAATAAAATGCGAAAATTCTCATTTGTGTATTATTAGTCTCTCCTTAGAAAATAACCCCAATGAAATGCACTTAATCTTTAGGTCACCAATTAATTTCTAAAGGTTATGAAGCTAGCAAGCTAAGAATCTTTCAAATAACGTGCATGTGGACTTATCCTCACCAGTTCCGTTTTTTCATTGCGGGAATATTACTGCTCTATGATTGCACAGTTTACACTATTTATAAAACAACTTGCGTTACACTTTAAATAAAAACGGTTCTCACTGCCTAAATCACGGACTGGTCTTAAATAACAGCTGAAAATCATTCAGCACGTGACGAATATTAATTCCAGCTCAACAAAACATTCATAACTCCAGAAGGATAGAAATTGCATGCGTATCGTACCACCGGAAAGCTGGTGAACGTTCCATTGGTTCAGCGATCCTAGGGTAAATCCCTTGCCACGAGATAGAGGTCCGACACCCGGTGCTTTGTGAATGTATATGTTTTTCGTGCGTTCTATTCCGTTTTACAAGTTTATGTACCTACAAGTATCTCCACCGCTTCTTTCTTACCTTGGTCTTTGTAATTCTCGACTACTGAGGTGTGTACTGAAGAGTCTCGAGAATTATTAGTCGATACATCAAATCCAATTATCCTAATTCGCTTTTCATAATGTGATCTTTGAAAAGTGCCAGTCCAATGGTGAAATAGCTGTGTGGGGCTTCCAGCTTTTATCCGTTATCTAACTATGATCAGCTGTGACGCAAACTATCATATGAGTGCTCATCTAAAGTTTAGTGTAATAATTTTCCTATCTTTCATTACTTAACTCATCAGTCAAAATTTTTCCGTGGCCACTTTTTTAATGTGTACGTATCCGATTTTTTCCAAGAATTTTATTGTTCCAAACAGCATAGTTTAATGACTTCAGGTCATTCTTTAACAATTGATTTTGTACTCAATGAAACGTTACGTTTATACCTTGTCGCCTTATTATCCAAGTTGGTCAGCAGATCATTGAGATGACTTTAAGAGCCTAAAACTCAGAACGAGCTCTCAAAAAACGTCTTATCATAGTTGTCTTGAGGATTTAATTGCGGTGGTCTTCAAGGTTTGAAGAGTAATGGAAGTGGATCACTTAGTTATTTGAGTGATAGCTCCTGAACGTTTCAGAAGCGATCAGTTACTGTCGGTTGGGGGATGTGGATTTGGTATGAAATGGGGTTCATATCGTCATCTTAAACGGGTTTTTATGGACACTGTCAATGTTTGTAAATAGACGGATCCATTATCTTTCTGAAAATCATCGATTTTGTGCGAAAATAGTATTGCTGTGTAGTGTAACACGATACACAGAGAGTGCGAAGCAGTTTTAGAAAGACTTGAACCCCATAACTGAACAGCCTGACGCTTAGCTTGTTTTATTTAGTGCTGTCACGTGTATATTTTTCATCCCATATTAAGTGGATATACACTTTGATAATTGTTTAATCAAAAGCGTAGCAGCGCTTCGAGAAAGGTTTCGTCGAGATCCAATTGGCGAGGGAGTATAATGATCTGTGAATTCCTAAATCGAATAGTTCTGTAAGTTTTCGATATTGTTGATGTTGTTATTTGTTCTACTCAGCTTGGAGTATCTTGTTTGAACATATACACCAGATTATGACTTGATATATTATGCTACCTCTTCCTCACTTAACCAGTCAGCCTGGGTTCATACACTTCTCGATTCACTGACCATCCTTTCAGATACTTCTTCAAACTTCTTCATACCTAAATCCTGTTTCGACTTGCTATATGATCATCAACTAACAAGATGTTATGGATAAAGGCCTTCTTAAGCACAACAGCATGTGGAAGGCGTCTTCAGTAAGACAAGTACTGTCATGTTTGAAACAGTATCCTAGTTATCGTTAATTTAGTTAGAAATAAAACCTATAACTTGTTCGTGTCAAACTAGACAATTTCCGAGAAGTGACTATAACCGGCTAAATATTTCAAGAGGCGATGACTCAATCCAAGCTTTCTTAGGGTCATTTGCAATTAACATTTTCCCTGAACTTCTGAAGATGAATTTCGTTGATGGTTTAATGATAAATATGACCGTAAACCGATATGCATGAAGTATTTCTTGGGGACTCAATCTTCAAACGTTCGCTTTCAGATCGACAAGATAATGACGAACTAAGACAAGACCTTGAATACGCTCTTGCCAACGAATTTTCATCTAGGAAGTTACATTTTTTCGACTCAGGCCTACTGCTATGTTTGTTATTCACAAGTCTGCATAATTACAAAGTGAGGTATTGTATGGAGTGGAATTGTATATGCGCAGTCTATGCTACAACAATACGAATACTAAGGTAAAACCCACGGCTCTGTACTTTTGATTATCATTATTTATATTTATCATAATATTAATAGAAAGCTTTATTGTTGTATTTTCTATGTTCACGATATAGTAAGCCTTTCTATGTACCTATTAATTATATATATATTATATATATATATATATATATATATGTAACTGACGTATTCTTGCTTCTTATTTATTTTGATGTGTGGCTTGAGACAATTTTATTACCAGAGGTATGCATCTACCCGACCTACGTCGTTCATTTGTTCATTCTCATCATCGATCTGTTTGTGTATGAATATTGAATTAATTATACTAATATATTTGGTATAAATGTTTAGCGTCATTGAGTCGGTTTGAGTTCAACCTACGACTGCAATGATAAAGTTATATCTCATCTTCGCCGTCACTAAAAAGTCAAAGAAGGGCACCAAAACTTCATGATTAGTTGTAAGGAATAAGTAAGAGAGGTTTTTTTCCTTTTAAGCTTCTACATTGGTTTATCCATCAATCAAGGGTAGGACTAGAATCTATGTAACGTTGAGGATAAGACGGAATGATTTGTGACTTCAAGTAGTGTGACGTCTAACCTATTCCACACCTTTTCAGAAAGCTGATCTACACTAACTGAACTATCGGTGAGAAAGTGTAGGCCTGGATAGACGAAATATTAGTCGGATCAAATATTTAGTATCCTCAACATAGCCAACTGATGGTAAGGATAATTCTATGTAAGAATGTTTAGCATATGTGGTGGACTGGACAAAACTAATCTCAGTGCTAACCAATAATTATTTATTATGGAGACATTAACTGATTTTAAAGCCACGTATGATTAATATGTGATATTTAAGTTCATCTTATGACGATATTTTTTACTCGTTCTGATCCACGTAGTTGGGATGAAGTCGTTTACGAAACAACTAGAGTTTTAACTTTATTGGACTATATACATAGAATAAAATATGAAGCTGGTTACCTAACACAGACCACTTTCGTACGCCAATGGGTTACCTAGTTGGCCACGTGAGTGATATTATGTTAGCAACATTAAACTTTGACTATTTTGGATTGTGACCATATCAGTACTAATACAGACATGTAGCGGCAAATAAATTCCCAAAACAAATAATTCTGTAAGTCTTCAAAATTGATGCTTTCCTCTCTAATTTACTGGACATATCTAACTGGTGGCTTTCGGTCATGCATCCGCACTAGATCACAGAGGTTACGCCATGCTACACACTGCCTAAACTATTAGCCAGCTTAGATTGAACGCTTATCGATATACGATAACTTTTTATTTATATCTTCGGAATTCTTCACTTTTGAGCTGTGCTCTAGCTGGGTTGACATAACTTGATTCTAAAACTGTCACATGTAAAAGTGTTGTAAAACCTTGTATACCCGTGGCATTTTTAGACATACACCGTTGTGGTTGCTGCAAAATTCACGTCAGTTAGAAAAGTATATTTTGAGTTTACCAAGAAAATGCGCCCCAATTATTTGATATCACCTTGTCCGAAGTTATTCCTTTGTCATGTATTGAAACCCTAATCTGAATTTCATGTCTGGTGTTCGCGTGGCCTTGCATTGGTCAAGCGCTTTCTTCAAAGCTTGATAACCTTGAGGTGTATTGTCTCTTTCCCCATTTTCCTTCCGGTAACCACCATTTTTGTTTATTCTTTAAGTCATTAATATAAGTTATTCGAACGTAACTCGCAAGCGAGTGAAAATAAACGAACACTTACAATTTATTAATGCTCTGTAGGTAAAATAAAACAACACGATACCTAATCTCGAATATATTTTAAAACCCACAGGCTTTCAAAAATTTTATCCAAATAAATTTCGCCTCATAACCGCCCTGGATTAAAGGAAAGACGGAAATGCAAATTCGTGATATTTCTATCTGCTCTCAAATCAGGAGGATTGTTTATGGATTATGACTGTTATTCTCGCACTGGTGTGTGATATTTTAACGAACAAACAAAAAAGTCACGGATCAATAAGTAAACAACGTAAGCATTGAAACATTTTGATCACCAACTTGTATTGATTTACATTGAAACACCAAAGCTATTCTGGTCGTTAAGTATACATTGTCTATGGTAAGCCGCTAAGTTACAGATTCTTTTGTCATGAATTTTTAAAAATATTTGACGAACTAAACTTCTGGACCAACTTTACTGATCGTAATGAGAATTTTTTTCGTTCACACACTTTACGTCTTTGGTATATTTTAACGGATAACGGAGGCCTGGAACACAGACATACTCATAAGTTTCAAGTTGTGTTTGCATTTCCATAAAACATATACGCAATACTCAGTGAATAATTGTGACTCAGAATGAGTCTCAGTAAACTGTGTTTTTGTCATCCTCAATTTATTTCTACTTCGGTACCACATCTGTGTAAGAGTTTTATGCATATGGTTTTGGCCTTGTATAAACACAGTCCATTTATTCGTTGTGTAAGTTGCGATTCTGTAATTTACATATAATTCACCTCGATCGTAGCTAAGATGGCTATTTGTTCAACTATGCACGGACATTCATTAACTATCAAATGCAAGTATTAGATGTTACACGAAAGTTTTGGACAATTCCCGTTGATTATTTTCAGGAGTACCATTTTGTGTACTCGGTACTACTTTCGTGTATGTGAAATTAACTTCAAGTGATTAAAGATATTTTAATTTCTTGATGAATATAAGCTTAATATTGCATGGATTGCGTTTAAAAACTCATTACTGAGAAAGTGAATCTTCATTAAAAATTTCATTTGTTCCATTTGTTCCCGCAGGATACTGGAGCCCATGTGCACCATTTGAAATCCGGCTAAAGCGCCGGACATTCGCTTTTCGTCCTCTCAATTTCGTAAACACCACGGTGAGGGAAGGCAGTGAGTAGGACGTCCCTGGTAGAGGCTATATACGCGTGGCCATGTGAGAACATCTGGAGAGAGAGAGCGGACTCTCCCCACTCTCGGCCGTACCAGGGCATTTGGGGGCATTCTATTAGATATTTTACCATGATTGTCCATTGATCGTTTCTCCGATAAACGTACTTACCCTTAGTATTAATTGCAATGGTCAGAACTTGTGGTATCAACTTAAGTAATGGTCACCGAATGTAATTAACCAAATTAATTCACAGATTCTTACTCTGGAGTTCATTGTTTCAACATCTCGGCTCCCTTACATATATTTAATTATTCCATTTGAGTGTTTGGGTATTGTGTTAAACAGTTGATCATAGACTACCTTCCAAGGACTTTCGAACAGTTGGTTCTGAAAATCAGTTCTATATTAATAATTGTTTATATCACAAATTAGTTGTAACAAAAGTCATTTCTGCTTGCAAGAAAATCTGAATATGGACGCCTATGCTCCAGCATCCCCATAGGCTTTAATTGATATATTATGGTCATTGGACTCTGCCTCGAAGAGTTATATTCCGGTCATTTGTCTCGAGTGTTTGTAGACAACATACCCTTCCTGATGTTCATCTCACACTTCATTGCCTTTTCACCACAGTTCCTTACTATGTCCAAATAACTGGTTAACTGACAGTTAAATGTCTTCCATCTGTACTGAGTTCTCAACCAACCACTATTCTTGACTTTTCCTTGCAATCCTACTGTTGTCGGTTTTTCTCTAAATGTCTGGACGATGTTCATTTATAAGTGGTTTGCAACTGTCTCTTTACTATATTGCTTGTATGCGGTAGATCCGTCAAATGAGAAATTTTACACTTTTAGGGCTTATAATGGTTAATTCACGTGTTGAAAAAGCAAATCAGTGGTTGTCGCGATAATATGTTAGGTCAATTAGATTTCGATTGGAAAGACATTAACAGTGGTCATATACGAACAGCGTCACATCCTAAAGCTAATAATGACTGATCTAACCCAGGTGGCTGAGTACAGATTCATTAGGCTTTTTGGGAGGAGGGGTCATATAGCTGATCACAATGGGACAAACGCATCTATCTCTTTTCTAAATCTCGATGGGATAATATAAATTTTACAATCCTCACTATTCAGGTGCATTAGATGAACTACGTGCGATTCGTGAGAGTGGTCTTCGAGAAAACGAGAAAGTTATTGATCTATGGAAGTTATCCCTCTTTGATCATATAGACAAGCTGAGTTATGAAGTATGTGAATATTTAGTTTCCTATAATATAATTATTTTTGAGTTTTGTAACTGTAGATGAAAGCACTTTCGTGGTGCACCGTTTTCAGGTTGATATTTACCAAATAACTACTATTTGGTAGTATTTATCGAATATTAATTTCTTGATTTAAAGTTTGGACGAGACTCTAATTTATGAACGAGCTAATCAGAAGCGTTTTAGAGATTTCAATGTTACAGCGCCAACTTCAGTGCTTAATGCCAACGTACAATCGGTTCACAGGGAATTTTGTAAAAAACGTGATAATTGAGCGGCTATAACAAATAAAACGGCGATGCTATAATTTGTGGATGAATCAATCAGGTGCAAGATAATATATCTCGGATTTTGGCGTGAAAGCCTCTCATCCATTTGACTAAATAGATTTCTGGAATTATAGCTGATGTCAGTTCGTAATGAAAACCCTACATATAGTTGCTAACTAAGACAGATTATGACAATTATTGCGAACTGGATAATAAAAACACCAGTAACACTGGCTGCAGCCAGGTACTATAATATATACGGATGTTTGGAAAGCGTAGACTCCTACGTAGGCTTGGTTGTGTGCATCGTGTCGTTATCCACAAGTAGAATTTTGTGCACTCAACAATGGGAGTGCACATAAACAATATTGAAGCTATGTGGTCGAGGCTGAAAGAGTTTACGAGACTTTATCAGAGGCCGACCGTTCTGTAGCCATACGGATGATTCCCTATATTGCATGTATTACGATTTTAGGACCTGTGAACCTCTTTCTAGTCTTGAGAAGTTTTTGAACCACGAATAGGAAGTGTATCCACTTTATTTCCTTTGTTTTGTATAACATATTTTTACTCTACTGACTGTTTGCTGATTGACTAATATTTCTCAAGGTCACTTAAGATTCATTCAAAGGTCGTCCATAAATTAGAGTCCCGCCGAAGTTTGTCAACAGCGCGAATCAAATGAAGTTATATGACTCGCTGTTTGTGTTTGTGGATTCTATTAAGAATATATGGAATACAGGCTATAGTACTTTTTCCTCTTTTAGTTTGTATTCAGCAACAACAATTCCCAATCACCTCGAGGAATTCTGATTCTAAACTGTAAATTCATTTTTTGATGGAGAAAAATGAATGATTTTGCACTTCAGTCTAAAATTTGTTTTGCATCTTATAGAAATTTTGTCCTCAAGCGTTAAGACAGCTATTTATCCGCTCACGTTTCTTGTTTATAACATTCAACCTGATTAAATACCTTGTTCATACAAAATGATAAGCCTCATAGCTATAGTTAGTAGTGAGCATGATTACTTCTAGGTCGTTCACTAAGTTTTTTTCGTATTTCCACTAACCATCAGTATAATGCATACGGGCACTAAATCAGAACATTCAGTTTAATATCACCCAGCCTGAATTTACAAATGATTAAGTCATAATTTGCAGTAAAATACAAGCCAATCTAAGTGCATTTGTCTGGCTGAGGGTCAGTGTTCAGAAGTACAGTTTATACTTCGTCCCATCAAATTTTTAATTGCTACTTAGATAAAAATAAATTTGTTTAGTTTTCATCTATTACTTTTGATAAATTTTAATCAGCTTATACCATCACACCTAATTTGCTAACAGACCTTCAAATCTTCGGAACGACGTTGGTTTGATCATATCATTCTTTTCTCCAATCACTTGTCTTATTCTCAGTAGAAGAAAACCAACATGAAGTGCTCATAGTCATCCATGTTGTTGACATATTTTCAGTTAATTATTTTCCTAAACAACATCTTTTAATATTGTTCTTTTCTTACAGAGTACTCGATTTTGGAACAGGTGTTCATCGCCGCTCTAGATATGGGAGATGATGATTTAGCTTGTGTAAGTTTTGTCGTTTCTAATATCTTTCGGTGTTGATTAAAACTACATTCATCTCGCCTAAAATCTTGTTATACTGTTAATTATCTTATTATCCGTCTAACTGTCTGATGTAACGACGAAAAGAAAGAACAAATACTTGGATTGTATTGGGGCCAGTGTGATCGAACCGTCATTGTAGCAACGATTGAGTTCTTTAGTCCGATTTGATTAGTTCCCCCGTATTATCTGTAAGACTGGTGACCTATCTCTCAAATGACACAGCAACCAATAAACAAAAACCAAGACCTCAAAGCTTACTGGTACTAAGATACGCGAACAGTGCTTCAAAGAAACCTATGATCGAAAATACGAAGCCTGCACACATAATCTATTTTCATAGACTATGTTCTACATATATAAAGTAATACAGAGCATGCTGCTGAGTGTTATACATTCTTTCTGTTTGGTAGGCAGATTTGTCTACGTCACAACTGACTCATGTTGATGAATGCCAAGCCAGGTTTCTGAAACTGTCGAGATTTTGTGAATATCCAGTCGATACACCCACGTGCAGGTCTAAAACTGCCTTAATTTTTAAGAAGACATTCTAGAGTAGTAGTTGAGCGTCGGATGATTGTAATGGCTAGTATTTTGGATATTGTTAGTTAAGCTAATTTATCTGTGGTTATCGTAAGAAGGCTTCAGTCCCTTCTTATGAACTAGGATCAAGACCACTCAGTTGGGATTACTTTCAGCTCATAAGCTCTTACTAATATCTCGGTAAACTTAGTTGCTAAAACTAAATTGTCTTCTGTAAAAATCTTCAAAGTCACCCTATCAGGCCCTCTCGCTTTCCCTTACAGGTTAGATATTACCTTTTCAAATAAGAGTTAACGAACTTGTTTTAATTCCCCATTTAGGTTGTTTGAAAATAATGAATAACTAAAGGGTGGCTAGAGGATCGCTAGAACATTCCTTAAAGCGTTCTGACCAGTATTTTAATAGTCTGTACTGAGAGTG